GGGGCCATTTTATGCATACTTTTTCAACTACCTTGCTTTGATGATTAAGCTAAATCATAACTTTAAAAGTAATTATATATAATACTCATAATTGTTAGCATTGTCGGATTAACACTAATGACAATTTACTTTGATGAAACTGTTCATTAAGCAACTTTTTATTTTGTAGACTAAAATTATATTCTTGCTATCAATAACTTTGGTTATCAGCCATCATTTTTATAATGAAAGTAATGGAAATTGTAGTATTATACTTATAAATAGAAACCTCATTCTTATTAGCAGTTATTTAAACCAAACTGATATCAGGAATTTGTTCTACTACTACTACTACATTTACCAAAGCAACATGCTATGTTTAAGCATCAATATTTAAAATACATAATTATACATGACACTTTACTCATAATTTCTTTTATTTTAATAAAACTGAAAAAGACAACTTATCCTGGACTCTTTCAAACTTGCACCATGCTATGCTTATGAGTTTAATAGTTCAAATGAGATTGTTTCAAATCAGAGATATAAATGTTATTAGTTTAATTTCAAAAAGACAGACTGAAATATTGAATTTTTTCTTTTAGTAGCATGCTATGTGTTTCGTCTATTAAAATATGTACATTAAAAAATTGTTGTATGGATTAAACATTTGGTATCTCTTCTTTTTACAGTCAATAAATAGAAAAAAAGGGGGTAACCATAGGCGTAGATCCCGGGGGTTGGGGGGATATATCCCCCCCAATATTTGACAAGGGGGATGGTCCATTGTATCATTCCCCCCAATATTTTGACTATGTATGGGATAAAATGGAGCTTTACACACTTCAAAAGACTGTCACAGAAATAATTTGCACTGTCTTATGCGCTTACAAAGATGAAAATTAGCATAATGTATTAATGTTGATAACAAAATTATTTTATCTGGTACCAATCTAAGCTCTTCTTTCCTTAGATATTAGATATGCTTGCAAAGAGAGCCACATTTCACACTGAAGGGTGTGTACGATATCAGTAATGTTATGTCAATTCCAAGGTTATATCGGTTGATGAGGAATTTATTGATTAGGCCTATAATAGTAAATTGCATCAATTTATTTTGCAAAAACAAGGTTTCCAGCTTCAGAGGGGGTCACATCCCCTGTCCGCACAAGGGCACACATTGGCGCTAACACCAGACGCGTAACAGGGGTCTTGGGTATTTATTTATTTTATTTTTTTTATTTTTTATTTCAACCATCTTTAAAGAGGGTAACCCTTCTAGTTTAGCCCAGTAGCGTGCAAAATATTTTTGTGTTTTTAATTCTAATTTCGTCGGAATTGATGAAAACTCCCTAAAATGTGCAATTTATAGAGGAAATTGGCCTACCGTAACAAGAAATGCGCGCAAAGAATTAGAGAATTTTAGGCACTTTCAGAGGATGCATTTGTCTTATCTTATTTATAATATAGGCCACACACGTGTGTTTGAAACTAAATATAAGCATTTTCATCATGGTTTTATTTATTACAAACA